AAGAAAACGGGAGTGTCTATTTCCATCTCATCATTTCGAAGCGATGTCGCATGAGACAAACATTACGCTGGACGTCATTGGTCGAGCGAAACGTTGAGGCCAATCCTATTTTTGGCAACCATGAGCAAGGTTAGAAAATCCAGATGAAAGCTAAGCTAAGCAAGAATTCTCCTCTTCGTCTTACTCATTCCTTGCTTCGACACTTTAATTCTCCCCTTCGCCATTATCCTTATCTTTTCGATTCCATTCACACTTGCACTCTCCCTCAACTTCACCCTTACTCTTGTCCTTTGTCTCACCCTTTTCAAACTGTGACAGCTGCAGTTTTGGTGGAGGCGAAAATTCTGTGGGCCCGTGTTCTCAGAATAGGGTGCACGTTTGAGAACCCCAGGCGGTCGAAATTTCCGCAACCCTCCGTTGCGGCGTCTCTCATAATAATATAGTGGTTTCGGGACGTTATATTCGAGATATAATAATATTAATAATAATAATAATAATTTATTATGCATTTTTTCTTGTCTCACACTTGATATACTAGGTTTTTACTATGCCATTTGCGAAACTTTTTATTCTTCGCACAACGGGCTCAGATTGCAGGTATCAAGGTTGCTATGTGCAAAGTATAAAAATGAGCATGAGGATTGCAAAAAAACCTAGAAGTAGCCAACTTGAGCCAAGGACAGTAAAAGTACCCAAAAGTAGCCATGGCTGTATAAAAATAGCTGTGACCTTTTCACTTATACGGCTCTATTGGGATTTTCTTAGTAGGAATCCAAATGAGTAGAGCAAACACAATTTAAAGACATAATTTCCATGAGTCAGAGGTTAAAATATCAACTTCAGAAATCATTTCGTAAATGAACACAGTTTCTTGCAGCGCTGCAGAAATGTCACTCCCCTCCTGCGTTGCGGGAATTTCTGTGAAAGCACTGGAAGTACTCGCCTTGTGACGACAATAATAACGAGCACTGCACGATGTGCTCAAGATCACAGTTTGTAGCATCAGCACATCAGTGGTCGTCAGTTCGGCAATAGTTTCGGACATGAATAATTCCGAGCGAGTAATGCTTCCATCTTTCACAACCTGCCTCATACGAAGAAATACAAGGGTGTCCTCATACAAGGGTGTCTAAAGTCACGTTCTGCAATAGGTGGTCCTCTAAAGTAGACACCATGAGAGTTTTCCATCTGTACGTCATTCAGACATCTTTTGTCTAATGCCAGCGCCAAATCCCACTTAAAAGCAGAAACAGACCCAATTTTCCTCCGAACACCCTGGCAACCGTGGGTGCTAATATAGCTATACTCGGGGATATCCTTGGTGTCAATAACTAAATATCAACTGCTCATTACACCATAAGTGAACGTGTTTATCAAAAGGGCAAGTGAGCTAAAAATACTGCTTACGCATCGGCTTCAATGTCATTCACGTGACTGTGGTGACCAAAACGAAGCGCCAAGACGATTCCTTGGGCGTCATTGCAAACGTTTCTCGTGAATGAGTGCATTGAGTGATCGATACATCGGTTGGTTTTTTAGTCTTTTCGCGAGGCGTAATGAATACACGTTTCTGGTTGTTATATAGTGTGGCATATATGGTACAAGAGCGTCCTCCCCCACTTTGTCAGTCATTATTTAGGGGCGAAGCTTTTAAGGGTGTGGGTCATTTTGTCGTATAGTAATGGTATGTTGTAATAGTAGCCACTTATAGTTAGATTTAGTGATTGCTCACTAGATAGCGTTGTATCACTAGATTACGTTAGTGGTTTTCGTATTATAAAAAATTCGCAGCATATCCGCAGAGTGAATGATGATCAGTGGGACAAAGCGTCCGCCCATGAGTCCGCCCATGAGTCCGTCAATGCGTCCGTCCGATGCGTGCTCTAGTATGATAGGAGCAGATGAACATAATCACTAGGCTTACCCGTTTTAGATAACGTCATCCACTTCCTTTGCAGCTATCTGTACCTCTGTTTTTTCTGACACCACCTCCTAGATCACCTCGAATGATTTTCCGTACCGTTCGTATTCATGCTGCCAGGTGCCGGGTAAAACATAACTCGGTGTACGAATACTTTCTGATACGTGCACAAGTTTTTTATTATCTTCTTTTTCGCAAAATGAAGAGATAAAACTTGTTTCTTTTCAGCGTCAGGTCATCTCAGTTGATCTTTTTTTTTTCACCCATTGCGACGACCACCAATCTAAGTCTAAGATGAAGGATGGGTCAGTTGAGGACGATTCTTTTGTCGCTCGTGTTGTCCTCTGACAGGAAGCATTTCAGACCATGTGGTTAAGGGTGTTTTGCTCTGCAATGAATAGTTAAAAAGGGGTATTTTCAAAAAATTGGGCAAGAATACAAGAGTGGTTCCCACATTTCATTAATACGTTCACTCACTCAGCGTCGTAATTTTGTTGCCACCTTTGTTTGAATTAACACTCGCAAAGTGAAACACAAGAGAACCCAAACTATGATGAACTTTTTAGTGCAATAAAAAAGCCATTTTTTCAAGACAGCGTATTAGGCCAGTACTGCTACCACCGAGCAAAGCTTGACTTTTTTCATAGAGCACCGACCATAGATTATGGGCTTGATTCACCGCTTGCAACCGATCCTCGTATCTGCTGTCTTACTAGAGACATATGAGGACTTTGTGTATTTGTATGTTGAGGGGCTTTTTGGCATCGGCTGTAGAGCTTTCATACGAACAGAAGAACGTGACGAAATTTAGCAACCTGCAACTTTCTGCTAACGTGATGTTATGACATCAGATGAATATGTTCTGCCTCACTTGGGTAGGCGTCGCCGATAGCTCATTTTTTGCGTTTTATGAGGCATTCAATACTTTCTCTTCGAAATTTCATTTCTTGTCGGACAGTTTTCTTATATTCTCTTTTCAGGTTACGCAAGACGTACGCCGACAAACAAGGGACGAGTTTTCTTCAGTACCTTTAACCAACACTCATCCTGCAATTATCTGCTGACGCGGCAAAGTAAGATAGCTCATTGTTCATTATTTGGTCAAAAATGAGTATATTGTGAGCCGTAAAACAACGTTGAGTGGGAAAGGGAAAGACGGACGAAGAAAGCTTTTGTGTTGGCGTATTTTTCATTACTCATATAAAGGTCAACACATTAGCATGCGTAAGCAACAATATAAACATCTTACAATGGCTGTTTTACGGCTTGCTTAAGCAGAGACGTCAATGAACCCAGGTAAAGAAAATTGGGAAATCATTAGGCTTCGCCTTCATGACTCCAACGCGAAAACAATTTCCTGTCCCTAGCGCGCACTCAGTTCAAAATGGCTTACGCAATTCAAGCTTTCGAATACGCCTGCATTACGTTTGATGGGCAGCATGCTTTGAAACCCGTGGCAATTGTGGGCGTGACGTCTTTTCGAACTTGCTGTGCACCCACTACGTGGCCTTCAGGTAAAAGACGCTGTAACGCGTGTGTTTTTCGTGGTGGGTGGCCCGATTCAACCCATGGATTTTTCCTCGTTGCATCCTCTTACAGTCAACCGCAATGTACGCTTGTACCACACATTACTCCAATATTGCATGTTGTATTGTAAAGCATGTATAAGGGACGCCTGCATTTATAAAGCTTGCAAGCTAATTTGACTGTAATTTAAAGCAGGATAGGTTCTTTCCACTGTACTTTGAATCAGATGCGTGGCTGTGTTGTAGAACACATGCTTGCCACGCAAACGACCCCAATTCATTCCTCATTCAGACCCAGACTTTTTTATTCTTATTTTTTGTATCTTCTTCGATTTTTCACTCCTGCTCAAAATGATGATTAGAAACAAGCTCTTGCCCCGCCACGGTGGTCTAGTGGCTAAGGGACTCGGCTACTGACCCACAGGTCACATGATTGAATCCCGGCTGCGGCGGCTGCATTTTCGATAGAGGCGGAAATCTTGTAGGCCAGTGTGCTCAGATTTGGGTTCACGTTAAAGAACCCCAGGTGGTCGAAATTTCCGGAGCCCTCCACTACGGCGTCTCTTATAATCGAATGGTAATTTTTGGACGTTAAACCACGCATATCAATCAATCAACCAATCAATCAATCAATCAATCTATTGTAAACAAGATCTTTGTGCTATCTCGGTAAAACCATACACTCGAAAAAAGACTTCACAAATATAACTAAAACGCTGTAAACTATTCAATACCGAGATGGCCGATCAAATTGGCTTTAACATCTTATAAACTTACGACTTTGGAAACACAGTGGTACTAAAAAAGCTTGCGTTATGATAATTTACCATACCGAAAACGACATTCCGTTGTGTAACAGTGACGAAAATGTCAACCTAAGGTTTTCTGATGAAGCGTTTGAAATGCACTTTTTGCCTGCCGGACTTACATTGAATGCCGGTGAATCCGATTTCTTTTGCGACTTCATTGTTGTACCTTAAGGTAACTCTGCACGAAAAAAATCTTCCAAGAAACGGTATTTTTAATTTCACGACCAGTTCGCTGCTGTATGAACTGCGTGCCTCGCACTCCTCACTCCAACAAGAAAGCTGCAACAAATAAACGACAAATGTTCACCACGTATACACTTGTTTATGCGTCATCAAGGTACTGTAGTTAGAGTGCTCTAAAATACCTATATGAGGTAAATAACAATGACTGCGAAAAGTTGCTGAACTATAGTAACTACAATAAGAAACTTGCCTCGCAGCTTTGTGAATAGTACAGCGAATGGCATTGGTAACAGCCACGTCTAACGATGACTGAAATAATGCAATAATTTTTTTGTCGATCCTTATAGAATATTATAACACTCTCAGGGCCGAAAGGATGTTACAGAAACGAGGAGAAGGTACAATGTCAGATAGAAAAAACAACAATGATAACAGTGAAGCAAACACAAAAACATGCAATCACTTGCAAATCTATTACGCAGTTACGCGACAAGGTGTTTCGAAACTGAAAACTTAGTTCTTAGTTGGAGGAAAGGAGGGTAGACATGACTATTGTTCCGCTCAGAGAAAGCCATAAAAACTGGACAAGAACATCTGGGGGGCAAGAAAGCAGACAGGGATGTCATAGTAGAGGCGTTTGCCTCCAGGTAATATATACAACTTCTGAAAGCACCGTATTAACCCACACCATATAAAGTGTCTTTTGAATAAACATCTATTTCAGGAAGCATCACAAATATTGTCGTAAGTACAATGAAGTTGAATCGGGCTCGTTGGTTGTTCATAATCGCAAAAATAACAGCGCCAAAAACGACGGTCGAAGAAAAAAAGGCAAACGACAACCGACTTACAACTGTTTGTCTCTGAGTGTTCATCCCTCTTTTTCTTGCATTCCTATTTTTAAGAAATTAGTTACGAAATGCGAAGAAAAACGGAAAGCAAAACAATCGAGCCGCAATAAGCAAAGAATGGCCGATGTGCTCGTTGGGTGATATGTGAACGCGTCCATGCTTTCAAGTGACGGTCGAGCACAATTAACACCCTTTCTTGTATCATAGGTAATGCAGCGCACTACAGCTACCTGGACGATACGTATTCACACATTGAATCTTCTTATTGAACTGCGTTGGAAAGAAGCGTTCTGAAGCTCATAAAGAATTCATTTCTATTCACGTGCGCGCTGAAATGATTTAAATTTTTTTTGCAAAATCACTTGTGAGATTTGTTTAACTGAGGCTCTAGCATAGCGTTTTGTTGTGATATTTAGAAAGTACATTGTGTTTAAACGACATACAAATGGCACAGTTCACATTTTTGCGCACGTCAGCGTCTAGTCTTTGTATGGCACGCACACTGTCCCCGTACTGAAACGCCTGTTAAGCCCAACATTGCAGAGGTGAAATAGTTTTTTTCTCTTTTTGCACATGAATTTTCATGTTTACCTTTTCATCTGCAAAAGGATTTAAATTCTTTACTCCGAAGTTCACATAAAGTGCTCTTCTGTTACATTTGCCTTGCGTCAAGGGTGCAACGCAGTCACGTGATTCTTGTGTGTTCACACTTTCTGAGCATACATGTGTAGCACAGCGGTGAAAACTTTTGCTTTGGTTTCGTTATGGCTCTTCCAGAACTAGGCAGAAATTAGGATTAGCGTATATTAGGTGGCTGTGGGCCTTTGTCCAGCTGCCTCTTTCGGAGAGCAGCTTTTACCTGCAGCTGTCCTTCATCAACCAATTGATGAAGTATAAAACATAACAACAACAACAACAACAACAACAACAACAACAACAACAACAACAACAACAACAACAACCACAATAATAATAATAATAATAATAATAATAATAATAATAATAATAATAATAATAATAATAATAATAATATCGATGTATTCCTATGGGTAGGAACGTGTTGAGTTGACACAATGAGATAAACGGAACGACAGATTTCAGGTTCACTGCAGCGCGTTTGGAATTGTCCAATTTGCTAAGGGGGAACTGAAGATTGTTAATTTAGTTTTCTTGAAGATCGATGTGCTGGTTTGAACGTAGTGCGAGTTTTGAAAGATGGTGACTCACCCCATCAATTTCACTCTTTTGGAAGACACATATACTTGCCCCGCAGTAACGCGGTGGGCAGGACCGTGGAAGATGCGGGTCTATGATGATTTCAGCCGTAGACGTTCTCAACCTGTCAACGTAGAGGTCAAAGTCTACAAGATCTGCGAAGACATGCAGTAAAATGTTATAAATGAAATGTCCTCCGATATGAGCGTCCATATTATGAGATCGTGTTCATCTTAATTCGTCGTGACCGTTTCACGCACTACTCTGTATAAAATGGTACACTCTGTGAAGTTGAATGCTGTAAGATAGCTGTGGTTTAAACGCAGTCTCACTAGCCCTACAAAAAAGGAGAAAAAGGGTTACGACTGTGATGATGCATGCGTTTTCATAAACATGATCGTGAATTAGTTTAGTGAGGAGCACATCTGCTGTGTCATACTAAGTGAATTTTAAATTTTTAATGCACGAAGCGAAAGGGAACCCTACCAATATTGAAAAAATGCACTCTGGCATGATCACAGCAGCACGATAAGCAGGCAATTCAATTGTAATGTTTCTCTAGAGCTAGGAAGCAACATCATCAGGATTGTGAAGTGCACAAATCGCAAAGCTGTTGACCTCCCCGACAGTGTATTCATACGCATCCTGAGATTATCCTGTGCTCCAACATGCAAGAATTTTATACACGAGTCAAACATCCTATATCAAAACATTACGTTACAATTGTTTTTCTATTGAACACTTCAACAATAAACACGGCAATGTTATGTGAGAGCATGCCACAAAACACCTACCTCCTTCTTCAGAATACACAAACAATGCTTCACCACGTGAAACACGTCTATGTGGTCCATTTCTCTGAGTGCGTAGAATTACACTGGTGTTTACGCAGGCTGGCAGATGTGAACAAGTAACATTTGTGACGTCAGGTTCTAGAACGGTTGTCCCGACACATGAACCAATACGCTGCGTTTTAAAGATCGAATGTTCGTGAGGTTCATAGGTGACCTCGAGATTGTACTTGTCGAAGCAGCCAGTTGGCTGGTTCCAGCGCAGTACAAATGTGTCATTAGCCACTTTAATTGTCGGCAGCACTTCTGGCATATCTGCAAATAAAAATGGTTTTGACAGAGCAATTATATTTTATGTGGTTTCTCTTACTAACCTCTAACAAACAGCATGGACGGAGAAGGCAGTCGTTGACAAGCGGCTCTAGCAAAGCACTTTAGCAAGGTTCTAGCAAAACAATTAAGTGAAATAATGTCTTGAGCGTTTAACGCAAGACTTCAGTAACACATCATTTATCAGCCTGCTTCATCGGCACTGCATAGCAAATTCCTATCCCAATGAACTTCAATTTTTCCTATTTGGCACAACAGCGTAAACAAGCTCGGTGGTTCCAACTTTCTGTTTCGGCGTCAGTTTCCTTGATTTTAAGTGATAGTTAAGCGTTGCCGATGATAATTAGAAACATGTGCAAACAAAGAAAAACCCGCACACTGCATAATTGAGGCGACTCTACGGTCCTCCTGTAGAGAATTCCTTTGAGTGGACGGTACCAGCTGACCGACATTTCATTGATTGCACTTTTCCGAGCAAGATTTACAAGGGCGGCTGTGAGGGCGCCTGAACCCGGCTATAGTTTTTTAGGACCTGCGTGACATTTCAGAACAACTTGAACAGTTTACGACCTACAAGCACCAGGACGACTTACACTGACAAGTCTGAAACCTGCTTTGCTGCGCCTTTCGCTATCCTCACTCCAGATTTTACTGCCATGGAGGCCTCAAGTGGGCGCTGTAAATTAGGGCAATTGAAATGATGACAACACAAAGACGATCAGAACAAGCACTTATACTCGTCAGTTTTTTTCTACGTTGTCATTCTATTTATACGGATTCTTCTCAAGCACTTATGCATGACCAACTAATTTAGAGAATTCATCTCAATCTTCAGCAACTCTGAACCTCGATGTTCTCCATCCTCACCGGATCCCTATCCAGTCTGCGAAAATGCAGTGACATGTCTCGAACGCTCATCTTTTTGTGTTTTTCATCCATCTTTATTAGAATCGCACTTCTCGTGGATTACTCCCGGGCCTACGCAACAGCTGCTGACCTCCTCTTCCAGAGACTTTTTATGCAAGTATTCTTCACCAATATTTCGAAATGCCTGCAATGCTACTGATATTTATACTCGGACTACTGCTGGAACCTATGTCGGTGTGATAGTTTTGTTACAGTAAGGTAATGTATAAATAGAGATAATGTACCATAAGGCTTTAAGTAGCAGTAGTGATATTAGTAATGACACTTTACTTACAGTAAGCACATGACAGAGCTCACTGAAGGGGCAAGTAATAAAGGCAAACAGTCTGACAACGGGCTCTGCCCCTCCGCAGTTCATGCTAAGCTTCGACATGACCACCGCAAAAAAACTTAAAATTAAATACATTTGTTTCGAAAGAAACGGAAAACAAGCAGCTTTCATGTGTAGACTAAAATTTATACACTAAGAAAAGAAAATGCTCACAGAACACAATTAAAGAGTTCGAAGTCCCTCTCGTAGACATACACAACCGAGTGTAATTAACTAAAAAATTGAAATAGTGAGTAACACAAAATGCACGTGAATTCACCGATAATACATTGTACAGTACTAGTTTTTAAGGCCAAGGGCCGAGGCGCCAGTGCTTTATTGAGGTTTAATGCTGCAGTTGCATGCTATTACGGTGAGGCAGTTGTAACGGCTTCTAGGAGGCGCATAAACTGAATGAGCTTTCTACTCAGAAAGGGGTATGGGCATGCAGATCAACCATGCTGTAGAAAAGAGCATTAAATAAAAGTAGCAATACGCATTTATACCTAAAAAAAGTTACCGATCAAAATATTCTGAATGCAAAAATAGTTCATAAAAACAAATATGCAAGAGTAGCACATACTTTTCTAGTGTCATAATTTGTGATACCTCGCTTTCTTTTTTGCATGAATCTTATGCGTATGCTAGGTGGCAATACCACTACGCCGCTACATAAAATGCGAACCTCTTGTATTGGTTCTATAGGTATAGAGAAATATACTAGCTAAAACACACCGAATACCACTTAAGAAATAAAAAAGTACAAATATTAAGCCAGAAACTATGAAACTGAACCACTGCACAGCGTTCCTTCCACTTCTTTGGTCACTAGCTGGTTATTACTTCAATATAAAATTCAGCAACTCAGCATCGCAAGGAGACGGACGCAGGAGCGTATAGAAGTACCTTTTTTGTACATGACGATGTCGTGCAGGGAAACACCAGATGAAGTGAGCTCGAGTGGCCCTTTTCTTTGGGTACGTACGGTGATTTTCACGCTGCAAGCTTCTATTTTCCTGCACGTGATGCTAGTGTGTTCAGCGTCAACACTGATTCCACCCGCACAGGAGCCCACACTGAGGCCTCCAACACCACTGCTTCCGCTGTTTTCTTCCGTGACTTCTACTATATAGCCGTCAAAGCAGCCCTCTGGTCGTTGCCAGGAAACAGTTATAGAATCCTTGTCCATCTCTGTCAGTTTGAGCTGCCTCACCTCAGGAAGACCTGCGTAGTGTTAGGAGAAAATTGATTTAGTTGGTCGCTGCCCCGCCGTGGTGGTATAGTGGCTAAGGTACTCGGCTGCTGAACCGCAGGTCGTGGGGTCGAATCCCAGCTGCGGCGCCTGCATTTTCGATGGAAGTGGAAATGCTGTAGGCTCGTGTGATCAGATTTGGGTGCTCGGTAAAGAACCCTAGGTGGTCAAAGTTTTCCCGAGCCCTCCTCTACAAGCGTCTCTCACGATCATATGGGGGCTTTGGGACGTTAAACCCCACATATCAATCAATCAATCGTGGGTGTCCCTCACTGCCCACTGCATGTCTTCGCACGTGAGAATGGCCGTCTAGTTTATTTTTTTTTCACGCAGCCGTTGGCATCCTCACATCTTCATATAATCACATGCCTCGAACCGGCCACAAATTGTGCATCGTTGATGCAGGCGCATTTTATCAGTCGAAACGCGCATTCCGTCTTGTGAGTTATATGTGACGAAAGCGCCGTAAGAGGGCACAGATCTTCCGCTAAACAAGCACCCCATCCACCGTTGTCGCACGTGTAGAGCATGCCTGCATGTCTGTGAGGTCGCGCATGCTCCTGTGCATGCGACGCCACGACACGCAACGGCCACAAGGTGTCTCGCCGCAGAGCAAAGCAGGCCGCTCGCAAGCATCATACACAGACGTGGCCGCGCCTCTACATGCCATGTGCTCGTGGTGCTTTGGCGGTCGTTTCGCTATCTTCACATTTACCATATTTGGTATTACGTGACGTTATTGAATGGTGAAGGTATGTGACTGATGCAAATACGATAATAATCACATGCATGTCATGTGAGAACATGGCCACTTGCCTTTCTCAAGATAAACTGGCGGCCGTTTCGCCAGCTTCACATATACCGAGTTTTCTAATAATGACGCGAACGAACGACGATGTATGTGACACGTCGAAACATCATCATGACATGCGTGTCATGTAAATGTCTACACGCTACGCTTATAATGCTCTGGTGGTCGTCTCGCTAGATTCATATATACAGAACTTGGAGTTATGTGACAGGAATGAATGACTCAGATATATGACTGGTGATAACAAGATACCGACTGCATGCCTGTCTTGTAAGAGCACGACTACATATCAGACACATTGTGCGCTCGCGGTCATTGCACTGGCTTCACATTTGCCAAAGTTGGTACTACGTGACGTGAATGGACGACGAGGGTGAGTGGCACATCCAAACATGATAATAATGATACGCTTGTCATGTAAAATATGACCACATGCTACGCCCATAGTGCGATCGTGGCCGTTTCACTAGCTTCACATTTACCGAATATGAGTGTTACGTGACATGCATGAAAGAAAAAAACAAATACCAGGTGCCAACATAATAATCATGACGTGAAAGTCATGGACAGCATAATACACATGCCTACCACTGCTTGTGCTGGTAGTGCAAGCGTTATTGGTGTTATCGCTACGGGACTATAAACCAAATACGTGCATTTTATCTAAATACCTGAGTGCGCATAACATTTCTACTTCTGTTTACTGTGTCCAACATTCATGCGCCTCGTGACGTTGACCTGATTTTTAGGTGACATATCAATATTCCTCATTCGTGCTTCGCATATGATTGATTTCAACAGTGCGTGGGATCTGCTGTCTTTTTTTAATTTCGGCTTTCTCTCTTCTTTTACCTTTATCTTCTAATAACCTAATGTCCCTAATCTATCATTTCCTTCTGAGTTCTGCTTTCTTTAAATAAGTACGGAGACTTTTCACCACCGTATTCTTACCATGAACTTGCCTGCAACACAAGGTCGTCTGTTTGTCGTTTCATTGTTTTTCATAAAAATAATTTTTGGGGGTTTCTTTATAATGTCTATTCAAGCCAGTTTTCTTCTGCGTGGAGACTAGACATGTGAAATACAGTTTTTTGCAATTTTTTGTTCTGTTTTTTTTTGGTACCACTGATCGTTAGCCTCATTTGTGCTGCATTACACGTCGACTGGCTCAAGCCGATCGATTGACTTTTTTCGCTTGGTGTCCCACAAATTTAGTTTTAAGAAATCAATAAAAAAAGTGACAAATAAATGAAGTTTTGGCCGCAGTGCCTGATGACTTCTTTGATTCCGTTAAGGATTGATCCCGTTTTCAAGAACTTTTGCACCAGTTTAGTAGTGAAGCTCTGAAGAAATTTATTACCAACGCATTTCTCCATTACTACGAAAGCATCCATAGAGATGTTATGCACAGAAAAAGGATTTTATTCTAAGTATACTCAATGTGCACACGTGATGATCCAAAATGGTTATCCACGAGATTTTCTGTAAGACATGAATATTAGAAAATGAAGCGCAATGTCTTACACTCGGAACAACCCACCTCGTTCTCTAAATAAGGCACACGTCCTAATTCACATCCGGCTTCTTTTATTATAGACATGTTTGCACACTCTTACTTTTCCATGTAAGCGCGAATAACGCATTGTTATGGCCACTACCTTCGCCTTGACGCACTTGCTATCACA